TTCAAGTAAATTTAAATCTGCAACCTCACCCATCAGAGACATCAGTTTCAACCAAAGAGCAGGCTTTTGGATTTGAGCTATCTCTTCTCTCTTCACTTGAGAAGTTCACCGTTGCCGCTGACTCTCCAGCAGGTAAGGATTCAAGTTCTGGTTACCTACAAGGGAAGTGGGAGCTGAAGCGCAGAGGCTTTGTGTCTGTACAGAATGAGCCACATTGCTCTGCAAGGCACCCAGGGCGCCCCTGCTGCCACCTGCATTCTCCAGAATAAAGAACTGTCAGTGAGTTCTTTCCATTCCCAGAGAGAGCTTTGCACAGATCCACAGGTCTGCAGATACAGATACTAAAATGTGCTGTGAATTCTGATCTTTGTGAATGTCCATCTCCTCGCCGGAAACTTTGTTTCAAAGAAATCTTTCATTGGCCAGGAACTGCTCTATTCTCAGAAAATGTCAAATCTGGGGGACTGTGTTCCTGGAACTTTTTTTTCTTCTTTTTTTTCTTTTTACAGAGTCTTGTTCTGTCACCAGGTGCCAGGCTGGAGTGCAGTGGCGCGATCTTGGCTCACTGTAACCTCTGCCTCCCAGGTTCAAGCAATTCTCCCACCTCAGCTTCCCAAGTAGCTGGGATTACAGGCACCTGCTGCCATGCCTGGCTAATTTTTGTATTATTAGTAGAGATGGGGCTTCACCATGTTGGCCAGGCTGGTCTCGAATCCTTGACCTCAAGTGATCCGTCTGCTTTGGTCTCCCAAAGTGCTGAGATTACTGGTGTGAGCCACTGCGCCTGGACATTTTTTTTTAAGAGCGGGAACCTCACTATAATGTTGAGGCTGGTCTCAGTCTCCTGGCCTCAAGTCATCTTCCTGCCACAACCTCCCGAGTAACTGGGATTGCAGATGCCAGCCCCCATGCCCGACCCATTTCCGTGCACTCTCATCAAGTGGATGCCTCCAAAGTGATTTGACCAGATTTTCAATGATGTTATGTTTCTAACCTATTGATGTTATAAATAACTCTAGGATAATCCATGTCCCTACAAAGGACATAAACTCATCCTTTTTAATGGCTGCATGGAATGGTGATCAATAAAAAATCAGGAGATGACAGATGCTGGAGAGAATGTGGAGAAATAGGAACACTTTTACACTGTTGGTGGGAGTGTAAATTAGTACAACCATTGTGGAAGACAGTGTGGTGATTCCTCAAGGACCTAGAAATAGAAATTCCATCTGACCCAGCAATCCCATTACTCGGTATATAACCAAAGGATTATAAATCATTCTATCATAAACACACATGCACACAAATGTTTATTGTAGCACGGTTCACAATAGCAAAGACTTGGAACCAACCCAAATGCCTATCAATGATTTTTTCTTTTTTCACAGAAAGGGACTTTTGTGAAAGTCAGCAGAAATGACTTTCTAACCCACATTTTCTCTAAACTTTTTTTCTTGAATGAATCCTTCCTTCCTTCCTTCCTTCCTTCCTTCCTTCCTTCCTTCCTTCCTTCCTTCCTTCCTTGAGACAGTCTCATTTTGTTGCCCAGGCTGGAATGGAGTGGTTCAGTCATAGCTCAATGCAGCCTCAAACTCCTGGGATCAAGCAATCCTCATGTCATAGCCTCTCAAGTACCAAGAGTAGCTAGGGCTAAAGGCACATGCTGCCATGCCTGTTAATTTTTGTATTTCTTGTACAGATGGTGTCTTGCTATGTTGCCCTGGTGGCCTTGAATGCCTGGCCTCAAGTGATCCTCTCACATCTTCCTCCCAAAGCACTGGAATTGTTTAATTTCTTTATAGCACTTATGTAATGTCTAACTGTAAATCTACTTGTCAATTTGCATATGAATTGACCATTTCCTCACTAGACAATAGTCTCCATGAGGGTGATGAGGGGGACTATTCAGTTCATCATTAGCATGATACCAGGTACCTAGTAAACACTAAATACTTTGCTGAACATTTGCTGGATTTAGGGCTTCTAATCACCCTTACTAGTTATAAACTTTATAACAATTCTAACTTTCAATGTCATTGACTTATTTCAGCCCAGAGAGAAGATGGAATACTTTGCAAGGCTGTGAGACCTGGGAATCCATTTCCTGGTGCATTTATCACACAATTCTACTTAACTATTATATTTATGAGAAATATAAACAATCATATTTAAGATACACATGTTTGCCCAAGCGATATATAAAGATTGTTTAGTAATCAAGGAGGGACACAAAGTAAGAGAAGAGTGGTCCTTCCCTCAAGCAGCTTACAATTTAATGAAGGAGACAGATATCCATGTTGCAGAAACTCATGAAGGTAAAATAAGATAGTGCATCAGGGCATTGTGGTGAGAGAAGGAGCCAAACTGGGAGAAGAAAGAATCTGGAAAGGCTTCATGCAGGAAGCTACTTTTGAAGTGACACTTAAAAGTAGAAAGGATTTGGCATGCAGAGAGAGGGTGAGGGAAAGAAAGACGGGGCAGAAAATGTGAGACATGGAGCAGCAGGAGCCACAAAAGGCAGGCATTCATGCTGAAGTGTTTGTTAATGAATACGGTAGTCTTCTCCATGATGGTCTGAAACACATCAATCAGCAAATACACAACCTTCATATAGACTTTGACTGTCTAGTCCTTCTTTTTCAGAGATGTCCTCAATCCTCTTAATCTATGCAGGGAAGGGAGATTTCAGTAAGAAATATACTTCGAATTCTCTTTTATTGGTTCAGTTTTAGATCACCTACTTTAAATGTAGAAGAAAGAAGCTTAGCTTTCCTTCTTGTAGATTTGAAAACAGCTTTTCGTTGACTTCTCGCAGGCTTCATGCATGTTTTCTGAACCACGTTCCCTCGTAGTGTCTATCATGTGTTTAGGATGTGAAGCAGATTTTCAGCTTAGTAGAATACACACATAATTAGCAAGGCCTATCCGTCCTCAGATGCACCCATGGTTTGGACATGGCTTTTCCCTCTTTTGATCAGAGCCATCATGGAAATTTGAGGCTCTTAGATAGAGAACCTCTCACCTATCTTCCTCGGAAAGTTGCATAAAGCTGAGCCCTTTTAAATGCTCACAAAACCCTCAGCCCCATGGAAGGCACTTTATCCAACTCCAGTCTGTAAAGAAAAACCCTTCCCTTAATATTTAGAAACAAAGAACTTGAGTTGAAAACTTAGCTGAAAGCTCAGGTACTTTGTATCTTCTTTGAGAGCAAAAGAGATATAAGTAAACAAGTATAGTTGACACTTTTTTCAGAGATAGAAATTCTTAAGAAGGAATCATATAAACTGACAGAAAATATACTTTGCAATACACTGGTTTTCTGAACAAACAGCTAACTCACCAAAGAATATAGAAGTTACCATTTCAGCCAACAAAAAATGATACTTTTGTCCACATACTTCTGATTTTTTTGACCACCCTTATTGGAAAAACTGATCCCAAATAAAACAGTGAAATTGGGTAATTTTTGTTCTTTGGAGCCCTATATCTTCTGCTAAAGTCCTGCACATTACCTCTTCTTCTCATCCTTCTGTCTATCCTGTGCGCTAACAAGTCTTACTCTCCCCATGTCCCAGTTTCTCTCAGCATCATATCACACACAGCCAAAAAATTCCTAAGTACCCCTTTTAGCTCTAAGAAATCTTTCACCTTCTTCAAAAATTTTCCATTATTTCTACCAAAAAGTAATTCTCCTTCTCCCTCTAATAGGTAGTTGCCACCTTTACATCACAGCATTTCAAGTTTTGATTATAGTTATTAATTTAGCCTCCTCCTTCTCCATAATAAGTTATAGGCAGCCAGGATAGGAGCTATGTCTAATTCTTGTCAGTTTTCCCAACCATTCTTAGCAAGAGTGCTCTCTAGATGCGTCTTTGAAAGAATGAATGATATTGTGGACGGCTGGGTTTGCCCGGCTCCCAGACTCCCATATCTACCTACCTTCCTCAAAGCCTGCCACTTGCATTTCAAGATCCATGTCGTTTTGAAAAGTTGCCTCTGTCTCGACTCCAAGGATGGGATTCTTGACTTGGGCTATGTTAAACAGAGCAGTACATTTCACCTCTCCCTCACCCCTAATCACAATTACTCGTTCAGGCTGCACGTAAAACCAAAGATGGTTTAATCAGAATGAATTTCAGGACTCGTTCCAGGAAGGGTGGCCAGAGGCAAATTCTCTTGTTTTAGGTAATGAAATGTGTGCATTGGAGGCCTACAAATGCCGCCACCATTTTATTAACGTAACAGAAATCAATATTTAAACTAATACTCATCTCTACGCCAATACCTGCGGGCCACAGATTTTTAGGGATCTGGTAGAAGAACTGTGTTTTAATATGAAAGGAAATAAACAAAATGCCCTATCAAATTTTGAACCCATCAAAGCCTGACAACAAAAAAGCTGAATTAGAGATCTATGCAGTCTGTATCATCAAAATGCAATTGTTTCTTCATCTCTAATATGGAATTCACATTGCAATAAACTATGTAAGCACCCAGCATAAGACTGGACACTGGACAACCACTCCACAAATATCAGTTATTTCCTTTACTTTTCCTCTTCCTCTGTCTAAGGGGATTTTTTTCTTAAAGGAGAAAAAAAAAACACTAAAATAGACTGGGCACAGTGGCTCACATCTGTAATCTCAGCACTTTGGGAGGCTGAGGTGGGAGGATTGCCAAAGGCCAGCAGTTCCAGACCGGCCTGGGCACCACAGTGAGATCCTGTCTCTACAGAAATAAATTTTAAACAAGAATTAGACACGTGTGGAGGCTCACACTTTCAGTCCCACATACTCAGGAGGCTGAGGCAGGAGAAGTGCTTGAGCCTAAGGAGCTCAGGGCTGCAGTGTGCCATGATCATGCCACTGCACTCCAGCCTGGCAATAGAGTGAGATCGTGTCTCCAAAAAACAATAAAATAAGATAAATCATAAATAAAAAACTTTAAAACCACTAACATATATCAATAGCCAACAATTCTTGTTGTAACATATTTTGCAGAATGAAGGATAAAGAAAAATAATACCCAGAAAAGAAACGGCATTTTCTACCTTTCATGAAGATAAAACTAACCTAAATCAGGACTCACTGGGTCCTGTGAAACTCCTAATGCTTGAGACACAGATGAATGGGAAGCCATTGCAAAGACACAACGGCTTACATCCTGTTTCCACACCTCAGAGTAATCGCCATGGCATAACAGTGCTTGCTACGCGAAGGGCATGTGAAAACAGCATGAAGAGAAATGAACATAATGTTTTGGGCCATATCTTTACAGTAAAACATTTTCAATGGAAAGTGGGGTCAACAGAAGGGAAGAAATTTCTATTTTCTTTCTTCAAGTTATTTAGATAAATTGAAATTAGTTTGACTTCTTTATGGGCTATTCTTTAATTTAAATTGTCCAAGAAGTTAGGTAGCCAACCACTAGTAACATGAGTCCCAAGTTATTCAAAGATCCTTTTGTAAACCGAACTCTCTAGAGCCCAGTGGGTTGTATGACTGAATAGTAACTATCCACGGCCACCTTATTTTTGTGCTATTGCAATGTGAAGAACACCCATGCTATTATTATTCCCAAACTCTTCCAGAACTGTATAAAGAAATATAATCCTTTGGAGTTCAAGTTCAGTGGCCAGTTCCGGTAACAAAATCGTAGACTACCACATCCTCAATTACTATGATTAAACACAGTAATTTAAATAACAGAGGAGAAAAGTATATTGAATCTGCAGCCCAGTCCCTGTAAATCTCTCTACTTCAAAGTACTAGTCCCTGCAGTCTTATACAGCATAATAGTAACACATGCTTTGCCACACTCACAGACTCTCAAGAGAATAAAAAGAGATGGTACTAGCACTTGCAAGCCAAACATTCTTCACTCCATCTCAGAGAGAAATCTAAAATCTCAAGTACATGGTACAAAGAGGAGAGATTTAAAAAAAAAAAAAAAGTGGAAAATAGTAGAAAAACCACTGGCTTCAGACCCAAACCAAACTGTATAAATTCTGACGTTATTGCCATTTTATTCTTAAGAAATGTGTTTAGACTTCCTGAGTTTATATAATGGGGATCACACAATCAATTCTGTAGGATTATCGTAGGGGTTAAAGGAGATGCCAAAGAGATATAAAAGATTTAGTGTCGATTCTTCCATTAGAAGGTTCTCAATATGTGGCAACTAAAATTACACAGAATATTCGAGGAAAGAAATAATGTCTCAATCACGTAAACATACAACTGATGGGTATTTTGCAGAATGAACTGGAGGCTCTTTCTCAGCAACTTTAAAGAAAAGGTATATTTAAAGTGACGGAACAATTGCAGATATAGAGTCTGAGAATTTTCATTGAGTAATAGCAGTCAGGGCAGGCAAGTACAGCTTCGGAAGCATGAGGAACACAGAAAAGAATTAAAAGAATCTATACAGCAGAAGAGCAAAAGAATTCTGAACAACACCTATCAGATTTAGATACATTGACTAAAGTATTTTAACAATTTATTTATAGGAAAGCATTATAAATTAACATCAGGTCAGGCACAGTGGCTCACATCTATAAGTACAGCACTTTGAGAGGCCAAGGTAGAAGGATTGCTTGAGCCCAGGTGATTGAGACAAGACTGGGTAACATAGTGATATCTCCATCTCTAAGAAAATAAAAAATTAGCATCAGGACCTAATGGTATTTTATCTAAGTTTTCTTCTATGTATGTAACTTAACCGATAACACATGGTATATATTTGTGTTAGGGACACCATTTGCCCAATTCTTCATGCACTGCCTATATGCACATTCCCTGACATATAACTTTGCAGTTTCTCCCACTGTAGGAGAAGAATGTATTTCTGGCCCCCTTGATCCTGCGTTTGGCCAGGTGACTTGCTTTGGCCCATAGACTAAAATGGAAGTCACAATGTGCTAGTTCCAAGCTCTGGCCTTAAGAGACAGTGTTCCTGCACATTCTCCTGTGCCTCTATCATTACCATGAGAAAAACATGCTGGGTTAGTCCCTGGTTTTAGGAGGAAGATGAAGACACATGGAGCAAAGTGAAACCATCCAGGACAACCCAACTAGAGTCAGCAGACACCAAACATGGAAGCAGGCCCAACTGAGCTCTGCAGAGCTATTGAATGCAGCCTAGACCAACTAGCTGACCCTCAGCCAATCACAGGTCCTTAAGGATAAACGATGGCTCTTTTGGGCTATCGAGTCTTGATAAGCTCATTAGGTGGCATTTTGCTGGCAGTAGCTAACTAAATATAATGTTCTTCAGAGGCATCTTATTTATCTTGTTTTTAAAATTATTGTCCCCATCTGCTCATGCATTGCCACCAGAGGTGCAAACCCTCTTCCATCTTTCAGGTATCAGGTTTGCTTAAAAACAAAAGGCCTTTGATTCATGACCTGGTGCTCCTGACCTGAGGTATTACCTGGAGAAACAGAGGCAGGTGGTGTAAGCAGTAAATAGCAGTCTAGCATCAATGGTCCAAACAAAAGCAATATTAAGTAGGCAAGATTGATCACTGTATTAGCCGCCTTGTCTTTGTTTCTTCATCCTCTTTACCACCTGACCCTCCCAGCCCTCAGACATACACACTCCGAGTCCCTTAGTCCTTGGATCCTTCTCCTCATATACATATACCACTGACTCAGGTGAGCCCAGGAGATACAGAGGTGACTACATCACTGTTATTAAGGGGATCGCAGGTGGGAATCTGATTGCTGCTCTCTTGCTGGGTACCAAAGGCCAGCCAGTTCCCCAGTTCCCCAGTGATACCCCCACTCCCTCTCCCCCTTGGGACTTCTCTCTAGGGCAGGTTCTGTCTCCTTAGGATATGCCTTTTGGATTTTCAGATTTTCCTGTTAAGAAAGAGATGAGAAACTCAGGTCTCCTGGGAAAGTTACAAAGCTTCTAGAAACTTTAAAATCCTAAAGGTGCTTCTTGGATTAGATTCCTGAATTGTTATGAAAGAATGTGTCTCCCCTGACTTTGAGGTATCTGTCATCTATTTTTACCATAAAGAGAAGACTGAATTTTCTAAACCTTTGACACTTCTGGCTGCAAGAAATTAAACCTGGAAGCCATTATTCGAGCTTCTCTTCTCTTTTTGAGTGTACTCTTTTGTCTGGGGTTTAACACTTGCATCTCTGGGATAACCTAGGTAGCTAGATCACTGCCTGCTCAAGAATGTCTAAACAGATCCAGTAGGAAGTACTTAGGGACAAGAGAGGGATACAGACAGAGATTGTGGGAGTTCAGAGAAAGGTTGCCTCCAGTTAGGGGACTCCCATAAAGATGCCTGGTGGTGTTTGCAACAGGCTTGCATTGAGATCAATGGCTTATATTTGTCTGGAGAGGCGGAATTTTCTTAAGGACTTGATTTTTAAAATGAGGAGTTATCCCAAAGGAGTGAACCTATGATGAAAAATTGACGACTCCCAGTAGATTTGGTGAGGCATTTGAGTCTTCTCTGTCACATCAGGTAGGGAGCCAGCTGGTCAGCCCACAATTCACCTGCTCCTGCCCCAGGGCTTGATTTTTCCAGCACTCACCCCCTGTAGCTCAAAGTGAGTTCATCTGTACTTTAGCAGGGTTGTAGCCAAGAAGATGTTCCCACTGGCTGTTTATTAGGCAACATGTAAATGGATTAGTGCCACTAAATCACAGGTGGGAATCTGATTGGCGGTATCAGCATCACCAGGGCCCCACCCAGACCTATTGAATCAGAGTCTCTGGGGTGAGGCTCAGCACCTGGGTTTTAAGAAGTCTTCCAGGTGATTTCTGGCCATATTAAATGCTGAGAACCATTGATTTAGATCTCCTTGAGCAAGTCACCTTGCCAGCCCTCGTGCATCTCTCTACAAATGAAGAGATCAACTGGAATGATTTCAGCAGACCCCTGTCGCTCTGTTAGTCTGTGATTTTGCTTTGAGTGATGTCAGTCTCTCCCCTTGTTTTGTTTGATTTTCTTTCTGAGTCATTGATGTTTCAGAGTATAAAGGAAGATCGGAAGATTTTAAAAGCCAGGCCACATGGTAAGCCATCCCCATTCCCACCCAAAATAACTTAAAACACTATTAGTTACAATAATCAAACTGAGTATTTAAGCACATATAGAACTCTGATACTCAGGAGACAGAAAACATTCTGTTATATAAATAAGTAAATAGCAATTCAAATTCTGCATGTAAAACAAAAATACCCTCCTATTACTTACCAGCTCAGTCCAGAAATAATAACCATCAGAGTAGCAATAAGTGTTTCAGACTGTCAGCATTTATTTGAATACCTTTTCCCACTAAAAGTATCATTTATTTGTGCTTATTAAAGTAAGTACAAGAGCAAATCAACAAATGCAAGATACAGATCTTGTGTGGACCCCAATTCAATAAATCAACTGAAAAAATATCAGGCAATCAAGAAAATTTGAAGAGTGATTGGCTATTTGGCAATTTTAAAGAATTATTTGGGGCAAGATAATGGGTTTTTCAAAAAAATCATCTTTTAGAGATACACACCAAAATAATTTATGGATAAATGATACTACATCTGGAATTTCTGGGATTTTGTTCAAAATGATCTAGCTACAGGGTGGAGGGTAGATAGAATAAATCACTCAGAGCAACTTTGCATGGAGTCTATGTAGCTGAGTGTAGCTGAGTAATGTGTACATGGGTTTATTGCTCTCTATTGTGCTACAGATTTCAAATTTTCTATAATAAAAATTTTAAATTAGTAATCTAAGAACAAAAGAGTAAGGGTAGGAAAGATTAAACAAAGAAAAATCCAAACAATAATGCAAGAGAGTTCTACTTTCATTTTCTATTATGAAGAGTAGAGTAGGACTAAACTCAACGCCTCAAAAGGAAATGTCACCTGTGGGGCATCCTCCAGGTCACCACACACTCTCAGTTTCTCTGCTTGGAACCCATTCTTCTTTTATTCTTTGCAGAGAGAGCTTCGTCAACACAGAATCCATGCTGTAGGAGAAGGCTTAGTGTGGGCATGCAGGGACATGGCAGACATTCAGCAACTGTTCATGTAATGAAAAACACTCCAAGTGGAAGAAAGAGAGGCAAGTTGACAACCAGCAGACATCCTTTAGTCCCTGCTGCTGTGCTTCCAGCTCTTGCATGCAACACCCAAGCCTCCCTCACCCTTCAATACTTATCTTGGGGCATTGAAAGTTATTTGCCCTTGGAGGGAAACATCCAGTTAAGCTGTCTTTTACAGAGATTTCTTTTATCCCTGTCTTTAATAGGTTGTGTGGACAAGGTAAAGCGACCATGCGAAGTGAAAATTAAAACAATATTTTTCACTCTATAAAATTAGTGAATTAAAATATTGTGACAATCTTCAGTTTGGCCATGTGTGGCAAGACCACTAATAGCAATTATGCTCTTCAGAGTAGGAATCCCTCTTCTAGGAAGTCTGAAGAGCAATACCAGCAATAGGTACAAAATACATATACTATATGCAAGAGGTTTGTTAACGATAAGTAAATTATGCTCCACTCATATGATCTATGCCATTAACATGATGCTTACTAAGAATATCAAATAACACAGAAAATGTCTGTGATAAAGGAGAAAACCCTGTATACACACTATAATCTTTACTCTATAATCTAAATATACTTATTTATTGAAAGTAACTGTACCAAATATTTAAGTATAGTTGCTTTGGGCAGGTGGATGATGAATAATTTTTATTTCTTTCTGTATGCAACAATTTGCCATTTTTCCGCAATAATAAGAACACTGTTTTCATGTGTTCTTCTAATATATCTTCACCATGCAAAAGTGTGCTGTATTTCATAGTTGTCTAATGACAGAAAGGAAACAACAGTTTTAGATGTACTCAAAATATGTGCTGTAGCTTCTGGATCGATATATAATTTTCCTTAACTTCATTAAATATATAGTTTAATAATGCCTCCATCTCAGGGTTATTTAGAACATAAATGAAATATTACAAATAAAACAACCTTCACAACCCTCTGTATTCGCAGTTTCCTTTGTAAAATGCTGGAAGGCTTGGGTGAGATGTCAAACCTGAACAGGCATTGTAATCTATGAAATGTAAAAATGGTAGCCACTCTGATGACTTAGTTAAATGGGTACTTTAAGGAAAACATTGAAGCTTTGATACCTTATTGCTCTTCTACACCCTAGGTGACGCTTCCACAATGAAGCTAATAGTTATGCAAGAGAAGGTCCCTGTCTGTATGAGGACAGTACCCTACAAATGCCACACACAGTACCCTACAAATGCCACACACACAGTACCCTACAAATGCCACACACAGAGGGAATCTCTGACTTTGCTGTATGCATAATATGATATTATTGCTCTCAGACAGGATAAGTACTCATTTTTTTTTTTTTTGAGATGGAGTTTCGCTCTTGTTACCCAGGCTGGAGTGCAATGGTGCGATCTCGGCTCACCGCAACCT